CTCCAGCCCTGCCCCCCAGCCAGGGCAGACTTCCACCTTCCTTTGTTCCTCTCCATGGGGGATGGCTGGTCAGACCAGTTTGGAACCACCTTTGCATAATGACTCCCCCTTTCCCTTCTGGGTCTTGCTACAGACAGGAGAGGTCGCCCACAGCCCTAGCAAGGTCACCACAGCCCTAGCAAGGCACCCCCACTACGTCACAGCTTGCGCACCCTCTGCCCAGCTGGGCTGGGATCAAAGCCTCCATCTGAGACATGGCCCAGCCCCCCTTCCAGGGACCTCTTGCCCCACTGACTGCACCAGACACCACCCACACCCACTGACAGCTCCGACTCATCCCGTTCCACAGGTGCTCTCCGTACCCCCATCCTCTACCTCAGCCAGACGTCAGCCTGGCCAGGGGACTCCGTGCAGCTCCAGTGCTCTGTGCTCTCCCAGTTCCCAGCCACCCGTGTCGTCTTCTGCAAGGACGGGGAGGAGATTTCATCCCAGAGGGCTTTGGAGGAGAAGATCACCTACAACTATGACCATGTGGTGTCCGGGGGCAGCTTCGGGAATTACTCCTGTGGGTACGAGATTAAGGCCAGTGACAACCAGGTGACCAGATCCCAGCTCAGCCCCGCCCAGCACCTCAGCCGTAAAGGTGTGTGAGGGTGTGTGGTGGGAGACGGAGGCATCACAGAAATGTCAGGTTCAAAAGCATCTGAAAATGGCATCAAGTCCATACCCATGCAGTGAGGCAGGACCAAGTAACCCTGGACCAGCTCCGTCAGGGATGTGTCCCCTCTCTTTTGAAAGCTCTGCAGTGACAGGGGGTCCACAACCTCCCTTAGACACCTGTTCCAGAGCTTCACTAAAAAGCTTTTCCTGCCATCTCACCTAACCCTGCCTCACTGCGAATCAAGCCCGTTACTGCATGTCCTACCTGCAGAGAACCATTGATCCCCACTTTCTTTGGCTACGTCTGGACTGCAAGCCTCTTTCGAAAAAGAGCGTCTAGACTGCAAGCAGTACTTTTGAAAAGCAAGCCGCTTTTTCGAAAGAGAGCACCCAGGCAGTCTGGATGCACTCTTTCGAAAAAGCCCTGTTTGCATTCAAGAATGCCTCAAGAGTACCGCCGTCGAAAGAAAAGCTGCGTTCTTTCGATTTAATTTCAAAAGAACGCGGTTGTAGTCTAGACGCAGGTGAAGTTTTTTTCGAAAAAAGGCTACTTTTTTCGAAAAAAACTCTGCAGTCTAGACACAGCGTTTGTTATAGCTCTGAGCTTCTTTGGAGACAGTTTTCAGGTTCCTCCCTCTGGCTTCTGTTCTCAACCCTAACCATGCCCCGTCTTCTAACCTTTCTGCCTAGCTCAGGCATGCTAAACCTTTGATCATTTTTGTTGTTCTCCTCTGGACTTTCTCCGATTTGTTGACCACTTTGCTAAAGTGTCACACCCAGAGCTGGCCTTTGTACTCCAGGGCCGTGTCCAGACTCAGGGGTTCTTTCGAAAAAAGTAGCCTTTTTTCGAAAGAACTTCCCCTGCGTCCAGACTCAAGCCGCGTTCTTTCGAAATAATTTCGAAAGAACGCGGCTTTTCTTTCGATGGCGGTAAACCTCAATTTACGAGGAAGAACGCCTTCTTTCGAAAGTTCCTCTTTCGAAAGAAGGCGTTCTTCAATGTAAAGAGGCCGTCTTCGAAAGAGAGCATCCAGACTCGCTGGGTGCTCTCTTTCGAAAAAGCGGATTTCTCTTTCGAAAGATCCGCCTGCAGTCTAGACGCGATCTTTCGAAAGAGGCTCTTTCGAAAGAAGCCTGCAGTCTAGACATAGCCCAGGTGAGGCCTCATCAGTGCTGAGCAAAGCAGGACAGGGACCTCCTGTGTTTTACATACAAAGTTGGTTGGCCCTTTGCACAACCAACTCCCACACCCCTTCCAGCAGCCCTGCCCCCAGCCAGTAAGAGCCCATGGTAAATTGCGCTGGGATAGTGTATGGGCCTGGAGTGGGCCATGGCCTGCTCTGATCTCTTGTGTGTTTGTTGCCTAGGTGATGGCTCCAGCAGTGGCGGTGTTGGAGGCACCTCCCCCCCAGGTAAATGCTTCTGACGTGTTTCTTTATACGGGGACAATGTTGCCTGTAAGCTGGGTGCTTGTATGGCTGCCCAGCAGATTAGCAAAGTGCCCACAGCTAGGTTTTGTTTCTCCTGTGGTGCACATTCACACACACCTTAGTGCGCATAATACATTATTCCACACATAGGTGGAAAAGACTAGAGGGGACATTAGTCCTGGGCAGGGCACCCCCAGTCTGAGTGTGATCGCTGTGACCATGGCTCTTGCATATTTGTTGCCTAGGTGATAACTCCAGCAGCGGTGGTGCTGGACATTCCCCCACCCAAGGTAAATCCTTCTGATGTGTTATTCAGGGGACTGTATTTAGGGAAAGGTTCCCTGAGCCCCTCTGCTACCCCGGCAGTCAGTGAATTGCTTCCACCCTCTGCACTCTCTGTGCTTGTTGTGTTTGTAGTTGCTCTGGTAGGAGGCACCAGACACATCATCACAGGGTTTGTTTCTCTGTGTCATTAGCTAGTTACGCTCTGTGCTCCAGTCCTGGCACTAAGTTGTCACACCCGGCCTGTGGGCAAACCCCTCTGCTAGAAATCTCTGCCCAGCACCAGTGTCCGGTTCCCAGGGAGCAACCGAGCCCCAGAGACTGACCTTAGCAGAGCTCAAACCTGGCTGTTTGCAACAGCTCCCCTCAAAGAACCAACCTCAGCAAACCCCTGCCCAGCATTTCTGCAAGGGCTCTGTGCAGTGCTTGAAGGGTAAGGAAAAGATGGAGTCAGAGGGTGTGTAACAGCGCCACCTAGGCCCTTTTGAATCCTGCCCCTGCCAGGGTGATACTTTTGCAGAAATGCAGCAACATTTTGATTCTATAGAACCTCATGAAAAGGGTTTGATTTTGAAGAAACGTTTGCCTAGTGCCCCTGCCAGGGTGATACTTTAGCAGAAATGCAGAAACATTTTGATTCTATAGAACCTCATCAAAAGGGTTTGATTTTGAAGAAACGTTTTCCGATGGAAAATTCTTCCGCTGGGTATTTTTTGACAAGCTTTACGCATGTCTGCACTCGTGGAGGTCTGTGGCCCCAACCCAGGAAATGAACACGTGCTCCAGTCTAACTCTATCCAGGGCAACACCTCTGTATCTGCAGCTCCTGCTGCAGTTCCATTGCTGGCTGCTTGAAGTTAAATTTGTACCTGGCTGCTGTACTGAATTGTGATACTTCCCTGAAACAGGGATGTTTCCTGCCGCCAGGAGCTCACAGTTATAGCTGAGGGAAAATCAAGGTTTATTGCCACAGAAACTTGCGAACAAAACTATTTTATTGTTTTTAACGTGCCACCAGACTCCCTGTTGTTTTAGGTGAAAAAGATCAGCATGGCTACCTCTCAGATTCTACTCAAAACTGGCTATCGAAAACTCCAGTGTTTGTTGAAAATTTGTTGAAAAATTTAATTTGGCCTCATGTTGACTTGATAGTTTCTTTGGAGAGGAGGGGATTAGAACCAAAGTGAGACAAAACTGTCCGTTACAAACAAAGGGATTCATTTTGTTTCGTTTCAAAGTAAATGGACGTTTTCCTTCCATTTCTGGATTTTGAAAATGAAAACAACACAAACCTGCCAATTCAAACCAAACCAAACCAAACTGGAGTCTCACATTTCAGAATTGTTTTTGTGGAAAGATGAATTGTTTGGGAGGAAGAATTTTTTTTTTTTAAGTTTGGCAACAAAAATATGGATAAACTTCGGCAACTTTACTCACAAAGAACATCCAATAATGTCACTGTGCAGATAACTGGGGGTGATCTCCCAGGTAAGTTCATAATGACAGGGAGGGTCACTTATCACAGTACTCAGCAAGCTCCACCCTGTAGGGACTTGCCAGTAGCTGTTTGGAGGGGCCATTCACAGCGAGGTTCTTTCCTAGGGCCGTATCTAAAGCTCCTGCTGGGAATTGCAGTCCCTGCCATCCTGATGCTGGCTGTGGTGCTTTATCTGCTGGGGAAGAAAGGTGGGTATGAGAGAGAGGCCAAGCTGTGTTAGCAAATTTATGACAGACATGGCAGAGACACCCCTGAGATCCTCTGTCTGGGATGTAGGGAGAGAGATGATCAAAGGCGCAGTGAAATGGATCCTTTGGTTTTCAGGAGGCTTCCTGGGGCATAGATCAAAGAAATGATGAAATGGATTGTCCTTGTGATTAGTTATTTGTATTTCAGTAGCACCTGGTGCCCCAGTCAGGGATCGGAGTCCCACTGTGCTAGGTGCTGTACATTATTTATTAGGTATGTTACTGTAGTGCCCCGGCACTCAAATTGAGGATCAGAAGCCACCTACATCCAGTGCTGCACAGACCATCCCCGGTCTCAGAGGGTCCCAATCTAGGCCTCATCCAGGGGGATATGGAATAGCAACAGGTCACTTAGGGCTGCAGGTCAGGGAGGCATCCCCTAGTTAGGAAAGGCCCTTATGCCCATGCCCATGGTAAGAGCTTCCTGTATCAGGGCCTAACATCCCTGCAGCCTTTCCTCACAGTGCCCCCACCTCCAACTCGTACAGCCTCCAGTCACCTCGACCATTTTGAGACTGGCTCAGAACTCATGGGACTGCTAACAAGTCACCCATGTGGGGGTTTTGTGTTTGCCTGGGGGACTTGATCATTAGGAGCCTTTGGGTCACAGCCTCAAGGTTTTCCCCCCAAACATGAGGGTTATAAACTTCTGAAGCACGTGACTCTCAAATCTGGGGCTTTCTGTGGAACATCAAACGCCATCAGACTGACTAACGCTGTCAGATGTGACCTCACCAGTGCCAGGGGCAGTCAGTGGGGCGGGTGGGGGGGAGCGCTGGGCTGTGCCGTGAGGGTGGGACTTTGTGTCAATATGATGATGAATTAGAGGGGCATGTTGCTCAGTTTCTCTCTCTCTCTCTCTCTCTCTCTCTCTCTCTGCCTCCATGAGGAAACACACCCACGTCTCTGATCACTCTGTCTCGCTGCTTCCAGTTGTGTCTCTAGGAAGGGATCAAAGGTAGGGGGGGATTATTCCCTCTCCCCTCTCATTTCCTTTTGGGGTCCCTTCTGTGGGACATGGGAGCTGGTTAGCAGACTGGGCCAGAAAGGGGGCTCTCTAGCTTCATTTCCATATTATCCAAGGACATTACAGTTGACCCTTTAAGGAGACCATTCAACCTTTCTACATTGTGAGCCTGGGCGAAATATGGAAGTTATATTTGTGTGGAAACATTTCAGAAAGAAAACTGTGTTGAAAATATTTCACTAAAAGGGGGGTGGGGGGCGGTGGACAAAAAAATCCAAAGTAAAACAAAACAAGATTCCCATTGGAAAGAACAAAATGAACATTTTGTTTACGATTTTTTTTTCAATAAAATTGCAATTAAGCCTTACAGTTTTGGCCAAACATTTGACTTGGCCAGAAATATTGTTCATTAAAAACATTTTTGTTGAAATATGCCACCTAGACTTAGTGTCACCAACAGGACTGAAAGCAAACAGTATCACTGATACAGCTTGTCCTTATTACTCCTAACAGGGAACAAGTCCAGCACAACACTAGCGACGTTCCTGAAGATCAGATTCAATGTAAGAGCTTTTACAGAGCATTGGAGTTACTGGGTCACCTGTACATGGAGAAATGCAGGAGCTGGGGGGTAATTGCATTACTTGATGGAGGGAGGACAGATCCCAGATCAGACCATCTAGGCAAGAGTTACAACAATCTGCCTTTGATCAAAGTGAGTGAGGAGCAGATGTTCTCAGAGTCCCAGGGCTCGGGCATCTGAGTCCCTGAGGTTCCTTTGTCTCACCCATTTACTGTAACCCCTAGCCTTTCATTGCCAGGGCTTAGGGGACTGAGGTGAAGTGTTACTTCTTCCCTTCCTTCATGGAAAAGCACAACCCAGGGAAAGCTGCCACTGGAAACTGTCTCACCCCATCACTGGGAAGACATGAAAATTAGATACTCATGCTCCTGGTCTCTGCTTTGATCCAGACTCTCTGATTCTCCCACGATGCACCATTTTCTCCCCTCTTCATGATGGGAAGAAGTACATCATGGGAGTTCTCAGTTGCAGTGCATCCTGGGAGATGAAGTGGAGCCAGCCAGCCCAGACTGTAGAAGAGAATATGAGCACGAGGCAACTGAATTACGAGTCCCCTGCAGCACCAGAGTGATATTCTGAATCAATATTTCTGGGTTTGGCCAAACTATTTCAGGTTTTGGGCACTCACAAATGTTGACATTTTCTGCCAAAAGCCGACTCTGTGACAAACTAGAATACACAGACAGTTTCCACTGACCATCTTCACCAGCCACATGAAATCCTCCCGCTTCCATATCACCTACTGATCCTGATCAGAACCATGTTCCATGGCGCTCAGTGCTGCCAATGGGGAAACCCTGCCCTGGGGAAGGGAGGAGTAGGAGCCATATTGTCATCATTCGTTCTCAAGGAGGTGCCTTCCTTTAAGGGCACTTACACCCCAATGATGACATGAAACTGTCCTTCTCTCCGCAGATGCCTCGGTGAATTTGCCAAGAAGCACCAGGGTGAGTCACAGCTTTAATTAATGACAAACTGAAGCAAAAGGAAAGAGCAATTGGTTTGCCTGTTCTAGCTCAACTTGGAACATGGATTTACTCAGGAGTCCCCAGCACCTGGTGGTCTCACTCCTGCTGCTCCAGAGCTCCACCCAAGAGCTACACTTGCTGTTGGCCTGGCCAATCAGGCCCTGCCCCTCACGGACACCAGACACAGTTCCAGAGGAGAGGGAAACATCTTTTTCCAAACTCCACACCACAGCGACAGGGGAGACTCCCTCATGGCCTGGAAATGGAACACATTTGCAGGGAGAGCCATGAAAGTGCAGTGCTAGGGTGCATCTAACAAAGTACTTCCAGTAGGGACAAGGAGGCATGATTACCAGTATATGAATGATCAGGACAGTCCCTTCTGCCTTAAAGTCTCTGAGTCTGCACTGACACCTCATTGCAGGTAGACCCGGCACTATCTCAAGGGCTGGCTGGCACGGAGAGAAGAATGGCTCCTATGTCCAGCTGGCAGGTGTTAGGCCAAAGCCCAACTGTCCTAACTGGGGAGCATAAAAGGGCCAACCCCAGGATGAGGAGGGACATCTGAGCTGCCTGCTTCAGATGGGTTGATGTAGGAAGTGGGGTCATTGGTGTTTCCCAGCTTAGATGCCCAGAGACCTTTTTTTTTTAAAGTATGGAGATATTCCTGTCTCATAGAGCTGGAAGGGACCTTGAGAGGTCATCAAGTCCAGTCCCCTGCCCTCACTGCAGGACCAAGTACCATCCCTGACAGATTTGCCCCAGATCCCCTAAATGGCCCCCTCAAGGATTGAATTCACACTGCTCGGTTCAACAAGACAATGTTCAAACCACTGAGCTATCCCTCTCCCCCTAGACTACTCCTGATGTATGTGCTGCCAGGTCCGCCAGCGCGGGGGTGGGGGGGGGAACAAAAAGAGCCGTTGCCCCAACAATTCAAAGGGGCAGCTGGAGGCCCAGGCCCTTTTGAATCCTGCTCGAGAGCCACCACTGGGCATTGCGAGACTCAGAGGGCTGGGAGGGGTGTGTGCCATGGTCCAAGCAGCACCAAGGGCTGGCAGCCTACAACCCCATGTGGGGCTCAGAGGACTGGGAGGGGGATGTGCCGTAGTCCGGGTGGCACTGAGGGCTGGTTACCCTCATTCCCACCCCTTCTGCCTGTGGCCCTGCCCCTACCAGGCTTTGGATCTGCCCCCATGGCCCATGATGGCCATTGGCCCTGCTGTGTACAGCAGTGCTGTCAGACAGCTATTTTCTGACTTCTGTTCTCTGGCTTTAGATGGGCTGAGCAGAAAAGTTACATTATTGTGTTTCATTTGAAAGCATCCACAGCCCCAGAGAGAAGAGACTCCGACGTACGCAACCATCGTGCTGCAGCAGGACAGGTGTCGTTAATGCTCCAGTTGCTGAGATGCAGGACTCATCAGTGCGCAGCCGCGTCACAGAACCTCCCCAGATCAGAGGCAACTGTGGGGGACCTTCTCTGGGAGCACAGCAGGACAATGCCCAGCGCCCAAAGTGCTGTAGGACGTTGGAATAGGTTTTAGGCAAGTGCTGCCTATTTGTCTTTTATGATAAGTTTCTCATTAATAAAATTTGGAAAATCCCCAAAGTCTGTGTTCCTCCCCCCAGACACTTTGTATCAGTAGCTCAGCTCCCAAGACCTCTCAGCCGTGTGTAGAGATTCCATTGCCAACCCAAAGAGCACAAAAATCATAAGGCAGCACCTCCCCCTACCCCTGCAAAATCCCATGATTAGGAATTCATGAGATGGTTTTTAACGTATGCATTTTGCTTCCTTTTATTTGATGTTTGGTGTTTAGCCGTTTGGGGGCAGGTTTTCCCACCGTTCTTCACAATCAGCAGGGCTAGAAACGAACTTACTTCAACAAACCCCAAGAATCTCACATAATCCCAGCCCTGCGTAGTTGGGCTTTAAGAAAAACAGCAAATGATATGAGATGTGCTCTGAAATCATGAGAACTGACACCAGCCTCAGCAAGTCAGCTTGGTATCATGCGTGTTTTTGGGTTGAGATCAGATGAGTCAGGAGAGTCAGGGTGGAGGGGATGCTCCCTCCTCTAGCCTGGCCACAGGAGGTTGGCCTGATTGCATAGGAGTTTACATGTTACCTCTGTCAGCCCCAGTGGCTTTGTGTCCCACCTGGGTTATGGCCCTGGTCCTAGCACATGCTCGAATCCACTCTCTCCATGTCCCTCCTCTCCTTTGCAGTCCTTTTTGCCATGCTACATTTTTTGTGATCACATTAAAACTCAGCAGCGTCAGACTGGCACACACATTTAATGTTAAAAAACAACAAATGGTCTGGTAGCACTTTATAGACTAACAAAACATGTAGATGGCATCATGAGCTTTCATGGGCACAGCCCACTTCTTCAGATCACTCTACCGGGTCCCTGCCGCGTATAGACAGTTAGTCCAGACTTTTAAATTTCAAAAAGTGGCGACCGGCCGGGAAGATGCAAATCAAGCGCGGGATATTTAAATCCCGGGCTTGATTTGCAACTTCAAATGCCTACATTAGCCTCCCTAGTTCGAACTAGGGGGCTAGTGTAGACATACCCTTAGAGACTAACAAAAAATGTAAGTGGTATCATGAGCTTTCGTGAACTGGACTGTGCCCACAAAAGCTCATGATAGTACCTACATGTTTTGTTCGTCTTTAAAGTGCTGCAAGACTATTTGTTGTTTCAGTTTCATCATAGCCTAAAGATTTTAACCTGAGTTTCATTTCATTAAAGCTGGCTCAAAACATACAATATTCACCATGCTTTCCACTGTTAAAGCATACATGTCTATAACACAACCCTTGCTATTGTGTAACTATCACTGCAACCTATTACAGACAGCTGGCTAGCTTTTGCTTCCATGCCCAGTGGTATCATTTCCATGCACTGACTAAACATGAGACTGACCATTGTAAGAACACTCAGGAGGGGGCTAAAGTCCAGGACTTTGTGAATTCTTGGTTTTCATTTCTAGCTGTGCCACTAACTCATTATATAATCTCCAGTAAGTCCCCTTCTGTCAGGGTGCTTTGGGTTGCCTCTGGAAAAGCCAGGGTAAATTACACCTGTGTGTTTCATCAGTGTATTAACCATGGCAAAGCTGAAAGCAAACATGAAAATGACCACACACCAATTTGTGTGTAACCCACACACGGGGCTACAGCTACACTGCAGGCTTCTTGCGCAAGAACTTTTTGTGAAAGATCTTCTGCAAAAAGTTCTTGCCCAAGAGCTTGTGCACACTGCCATGTGCTGTTGCACAAGATATGTGCTGTTGCACAAGAGAGCGTCCATACAGACATGGACGCTCTTGCACAAGAAAGCTCTGGTTGCTATTCACAGACTGGGCATCAGAGCACTTGTGCTTTTTCCAATAGGGGTTTCTTGTGCAAGACACCCCTGGGCTATGTCTACACGGCCCCTGTTTTGCACAAAAATATGCAAATGAGGCAAAGCATGGAATATCTCCGCACTTCATTTGCATAATTAATGAGGCTCCATTTTTGTGCAAGAGGCTTTTGTGCAAAAAAGGAGCCGTCTACACAGCTCCTTTTTGCACAAAGACCCTCTCTTGCACCAGAGCCGTTCTTCCACGTTTTTGTCTACACTGCTCTTTTTTGCTCAAAAGCCTCTTGTGAAAAAATGGCTGTCCATTAATTATGCAAATGAAGCACAGTGATATTCCATGCCAAGCTTCATTTGCATAAGCTTTTCTGCAAGAAGGCTACAGTATAGACATAGCCCTAGTTTGATTCTGTCAGCTTTGGCATCAGAGCTCGCAATATTGGAAAGAAATGGGTTAAATACACATTTGATTGATATGGCTGCCATTTTGGTTGACTCTCCATCTTAAATTGGCAAAAGGACAACCTGGCCTCCATCTTGGGGCCCCTTCTTCTCCAGACTTTTGGCGCCAAAACAGAGGAAAGGGAGGGAACAGGGAGAGTCATGTGACTCTGCCCAGCAACTAGAAAACAGCTAGGGGAGTGTCTGCCACTCTGGCAGGGCTCTGTGTCTCTGGGTGCTGTGTGAGCCAGCCCTGCTGAGAGCCAGGGGAGAGAACATGTAGAAGGGACCCTTTAACATACATCCCCACTAAGTTGGGCATGCAGTTTACTGATCTCTGCCTCACACTTCTGATGGCTAGCTGCCTTGTTTTCATCTGCTAGAAAGCGAGTTGCTGCTCGTGCTTCCTCTAACAACATTTTAGTGTGAGACAACTCTTTTCTGTACTGTTCTGCAGCCATATTGGCCTTGTCCCTTTCCTCTTGCATATTTCTAAGTAAAGTCACCATTTTAAGCTTTTCTGCTATAAATTCACATCCATCCATCTCACATTTGTCCAAACACTGTTGTAACTGCTTTTTCTCCAGCTCCAATTCCTGCCTTCCCTTTACCATTTCGGCCATGTCCAGACATGCATAAAACAATGCCCATGCAGCAGCTGCATCTTTTGCATTACCTCGTGGTTTAATGGTTGTGCAGTATTGTTCAAAGCTCAAACTTGCTTCAAGCAGGGGATCCTCACCCTTAAAGCATCCCCTTTCCCAGGGACATTTCCCCTTCTTCATTACCCATCTCTCTAACCTATTGGTTTTCTCCTCTCTCAAGCGAGCAGCCAAAGGGGTTCTCTCAGACATCTCGGCTTTCCTTATTTCACTAGTTATCTTTACCTGAAGTCAATATAACTCTAAAACATTTACTTTCAAGCCCACTATTTAACTTTCAATTGCACAGTCCCATAATAATTCCAAGCACAATTCAGAACTTTACCACATTAATTCCTATTCACACAGTTCTACAAAAATTCCAAGCACAATTCAGAACTGTTACCACATCAATTCCTAGTTCCAGTTCTACAATTCCTAAATGCACAGTTCTACAATAATTCCAAGCATAGTTCAGCTACAAAAATTCCAAGCACAATTCAGAACTGTTACCACGTTAAATCCTAGTCCCAGTTCTACAATAACTCCTAAATGCACAGTTCTACAATAATTCCAAGCATAGTTCAGCTACAAAAATTCCAAGCACAGTTCAGAACTTTTTCAAGTATTCTATGTGAATGACAGAAGGAGCTCAATAAAAGGCTTTAAAAAAAAAAAAGACAGAAAAAACTGACAGAAAAACCCCTGATGCCCTCTCCCATGAGGC